GCTGCTGCTACAGCTGCTGCTGCTTGTGCACATGCTACTACTACTACTACTACTACTACTACTCCTGCTACTACTGCTACTACTGCTGCTACTACTACTGCTACTACTACTGCTACTACCACTACTACTACGACGACTACTACTACTACTACTCCTCCTACTACTACTACTACTACTACTACGACTACTACGACCTCGACTACTACTACTACTACTACTACTACTACGACGACGACGACGACTACTACTACTACGACGACTACTACTACTACTACTACTTCTACTACTCTTCTACTCTACTACTCTACTACTCTACTACTTCTACTACTACTACTACTACTACTACTACGACGACGACGACGACGACGACTGCTACTATTACTATTGCTCCCACCGCTACTGCTGCTGCTGCTGCTGCTGCTGCTGCCACTGCTACTACTATGGCTACGGCTACGGCTGCGACTACTTCCACTGCTGGTGGTGTACTTTGAATCGCACCCTTGCCATTGCTGTGAATATTGCCGAATCTCTCTTGCTGAATCTCTGTTGCTATCATCTGCCGTGCTGTCTGCTATTCGGCGCTTCCGCTCCTGATGCGGGCAAGAGTCCTTCTGTGTGCTGTTGTTTAGGCCACAGATAATCGTAGACCACCAGGAGCCTTTCACGGTGAGGGCACCTTCGACTCTCGCTGGGATGGTGGCCGGTACATGCAAGGCACCTCGCAGCGCAAGTCATTGTAGACAACAGATGGACAGAAGTCAGTTGGAACACTTCCATGTGTCTCTCAAGGGTTTTTTGTGCAGGAAGAGCAAGTCCTGCTGCAAGGCGAATTCCACTACAACTGCTTCCAGAAGTCTGATGGTCGCTGGGTGGACATCTTGCAGCACATCAAGAGCCATGAGATGCGAGAGAGCCTTTGAAAGCACTCACTAGTACTGAAGGCTACACTTTGGTTCTGGTAAACGTTTGTTCCACACTGCATCTGCATCGGTTTGAGGATCGTTATCGGCGTGTAGCTACGCCATGTCAGGATCCTTCATGGGAACCCGCTTCGAACAGAGGCTCGTTGCGTGGCGATGCAGGGCCACCTTCAGGTATCTGTGGACTCTGTGGCATCAGTACTTTGCTGCACTTCGTCACAGTCGGTGGTCCAGTGAGAATTGAAAGGAAAGGTGGTTCCAACTACGAGAGAGGTCTCCAGTTTTTTGACTGCAGCGCAGCATCAATTTCGAATCAGCACTAACATGGATGGATGAGATGTGTCATCGACAGAGGAGGCTCAAGGGTTTCCCGAGAACAGGTGGAAGCTGCAGCAGCTGCAAATGCTTCGGCCTCACGCCGGAAAGGCCCTGGTCAGCTCGGTTGGGTTGTTAGTGGTTTAGGCTGTTTGGGGTTGAGGATGTTGACAGACATGGAATGGTCATTTCCCTCACGGCTTGCACGCTTCGTGGATCGAGCGGGTGGGCAGAATCACCTGCAGGGAATAGGTCCTTTCGCCAACCAGGAAGGGGCCGAGCCTGTTCTTTAGCCGTGCTGTTTCGACCTCTCCGTATCTAGCTCCATCGTAAGTTTGAAGCAATTGCGCGATGTACAGAACTCGCTGACAAGTTGGAGATATGTTCCCATCGGAAGCACTAAATGTCCAGAGATCTTTACGGAGAGTGTCGGTCCGCGGTTTTGTTCTTTGCCCCGCAGAAGGAAGTGTCTCAAGAGATCCCTAAGGGATCTTTCGGGTCCGATGCAGAGTGATCCGAAGCCGACACCGCCATGGAACGAAGACATCCGAAAGCTGCACCAGTTCATCGAGGAGTGTTGTGGCTTAGGCCTTCACTAGGTACCCATTTGGGATAACTGTGTAATTTCCCTCGCTTGAATTGGGATGTTTTGGGGACTCTTGAAAGCAAGCTTTCTAGGACGGATCGTACCACATCGTAGAACATAGAAATGTTTGCGTCGGCCAACGGCATGCTCCCAGCCAGAAGCACCCTCGGAGGGCACAGCTGCAATCTGATTGATCAGGACCAGTTCTGTCGACAGGCAGTGCTGCTCCAGGACGGTTTCATGAAGTGCGGAGGGTGCATGATCACTGGGGCTCCCAGTGGTACACAGCTTGTATTTCTCGCCACATTGTGACAGTAGTCAACGAAAAAAAATCGCAGAGAAAATCTGACACAACGAAGCACCATGGACCTGCATGACATGAGTCTGCACGCACAATATGCAAGCACGTTTTTCTGTGCAACTGCATAATCAGATTCCGCTGTCAACTCGCTGATTCCCGAAATCCCACCAGGAGCTGACACGACCTCTTCGGTTTGCTCATGACAAGCTGGCACCTGCTGTTGCTCCTGTCCTGCGGCCACCGGAGGGGGAGACGAAGGAAAGACGTGATGCACGTTCATGGTGACGGGTATTGGCCCTAGGAACGTGCAAGATTGAGGATACGGAGTCCATGCGCTCGTATCAATGATACTACAAGAGTTTGATCACATGCGTTTGCGAGTTTGCGAGTGACAGTGATTCTGCGACACAGTGTTGTGCACGTGCTTGTTGTTTGTTCGAAAAGGCCTAGCTGGTTTGGTTTCGGCACGTAGGGTATGCATTACAGGGCAGTGCTAGCACGGAACGGAGGCAAGAGTTCGAATCTCAGAGGCACAGCTGTTTGGAAGCATGTTTTTTTTGGGCTATGTCGTGCAGGGTTGTTGCGGCCTTCATTGAATTACCTCCTTTGTTGCTTGCTGCACGATCTGGCGTTGCGTATGCCATAATGATGATGTACCTCGGCATGTCGGGGGTATTGCGATCATCCGAATTCCATCACACATCTCCCACGTTTTTGCAACAACATGTGTCTCCTATGAAAGGACTTGGACGTGATTTCCGAGACATCGGGTGCTGGCATCAATATTCGACACATTGAAAGGCATCCAGGCACCGTGCTGGCTTCTGGCGGGCGCACTGAGAAAGCTGACATGCAGTCGGAGACGTCTTTGAACAATTCTGCAGCGGCAAGCGTGGCCGCAGAAGTTGCAGAGGCCAGAAACAAGGAGCTCGGCGAAGCTGACACGGAGAAGCGGGTGACACTGTCTTTTCAGATGCCCGAAGACCCTCAGGATGTCCAAGATTTGGCAGCCTTCGATGAAAACTGGGAGCCTACAGCCAGGCCGAGTGTCACCGAATCTCCGGCGAAGCGCTCGCGCGACAGTTCGCGGCAGACCTTCGTGCGGGCCAAGCTCAGCCAACACCAAGAAAAGGCTGCAGCTGCCGCCCGCCTGGTGCGTCAAGCCAGAGACTGGTCTGAAATACGGCCTTGTGTTGTGAACCTTTGGATCCGTGAAGATCAAGCAGCTTTCATTCAAAATGCTGGAACCGATGCATACCCTTGATTGTCAGACACATGCCACAAGCACGAAATTGAGGTAATGAGACTGTACGGTTTGACCACGAACCTATTTATGTGCTTATCGCTAGGAACAACGACGCGGTAGGGTCGTTCAGAAACGCCTGCGATTGCCTCGCACCTGTTGTTGGCAATATACGAGGCGCCGTCAAGCCGAAGCGCTGCCGGCCCAGCGCAAAGCAAGTGGTGATGTCTCGAAGCATGGCTGCATTTCTGTTGAAAGGTGAGGATCTGCATGTTTGCAAGTGCGTGCAGCATCTCGTAGCGAGAGTGTCCCTGTCATTGCTAATTAGGTTGCTGTTGCTATGGTTGCGCTTAATATGTTTGCGACTACGATTTCTACAACGAAGTTTCAGAATCCTCTTGCTGGCCATGTTAGTATTGCAGGTTCCCGCTTAAGTGCTCTTTATATCATCGGTTTTCATTATTTCGCTCTCGTCTTTGTGGTTCTTTACAACGACAGCATGATTAGCCAAGCTGAGGGCTTGCTCAATATAAGGTCGCATCGTTACAGAAGTCTGTGCAGCTTGTATTCTGCCCAGGCTGTAGGACTTAGGGATACTTAAGGCGCAGAGAGTGTTGGGGTGCGTGCAGGAGTGTTTGCCTACGGCATCATCTGTCTGATTATTGTGAATCTCGTCCTGCTGGGCATCGAGGCCATGCACTCGTGCATCGGAGGAAGGTGTATCAGATTGCATAAGTCACCGGCATTCCATAAGGCAGGCCAGCTCAGAGTCGTGCCATGTGCCGTGCCTCCTGAGCATTGCCAGGTGGATATCAGCGCTGGCCTCCCTCAAAACGAGGCATGAATCAAAACTGCTGATATCTGGTAAATCTTGTGCCAGTCCGACACTGTCGGCCTCTGTTTTCATTGAAGAAGCCATTGGAAATTGTCATAGCAAGTTACACCGTTACACCGAGCCGCGCTTGCAGTTTCACGTACGCTGGCATGCAGCTCAATCTTGATTCAAGCAGGTGCCTACATGGTTTGCGATCGTGAACATTATCATCGTGTCGGTATACACATTGGAATCTCGTCATGCCCTATGACGCGCCTGCCTGTTTTCGAAATCAGATGGTGATTGCCACATGATCCAGAAGAGGCATCAACCATAACTCGGTCCATTAGTAACTTAAACAAACGCAATCTAGGTGCCTGGCCCAATTTTCGAAGTCGAACACGTGCACTCCGACGCATTCAGTTTCACAAGGCACAGGTGCATGCCGACCTATAATATATCTGTATGTATGTACATACCCAAAACCCGAAACCATACACACATAAATACATACATACATACATACATACATACTTCTTCCACGAGCTTTGAGTCCGGTGGACGCGCTCCTAGCAAATGAATTCAAGGGTGAGACGGGAAAGAATTAAATGGGAGACCCTAGACCGCCTGGCCGAAGGGCAAGTCCAGCCCCCATAGCCCAGCTCGATACCGGTTCCAGGCAAGAGAGAGCCTTCGGAGAGGCTTCGAGGAACACGGGGGATAGCCGGGAGAGTGCAAGGAAGGCACTGAAGGTGTCACAAGCCTGCTCAAGCCAGTCCAAATGACGGCGAGCTGTAGCAAGTGGGATGCTGTGACGGAAGGGATACACAAACTCCGGAAGCGGAGGGTCATCAACCTTGAACACAGCAGGCACCCCAGTCAGAACAAAATTGAGTCTGCACTCGGACGGACAATGCAGGTCGACACATGCGGCAAAGCCTTGCGGACTCCGTTTCCCTTTACGGAAGTCCTCACACCACAGCTCGGGATCGAGGAGGAGGCAAGCATCCTCGACAATACCGCCGGCTGAGGAATGAGCCTCAGGGTGTGAAGCCCAGTCACGAAGGGAGCGTTGTAAGACCGACAATGGCTCAGCAAAGTCCAGGAGAGTGTGCCAGACACTGTCGGTATCGGGTGTCTCAAGTGCAAGGAGTGCTGCTACAACACCAGGGTGGGTGTAGACCGGGTCCGGCCTGACCTCGGGGCACTCAAAACCGGCGATTTGCAGTGGTGGTAATTGTGAATGGATATCGCCATCAACCGTCTCGGTGGGGTGAAAGCTGCCCCAGCCAACTCGACAAGATTGGGAATGCAGCAAGTGCCTGCGGAGACGGTGAAGGTTAGCATATAACCTGCCACAACCCAAGCACAGCGGTTTTTCCTGGCCTTGTGACAAGAGTGTAGCTGGCGCACGGTATCCATGCTTTTTTGCAGCATGCACAGCCCACGAGGCCCGAGAAGGGAAGGCCACACGGCAGATCAGGCAGGCCTCCTGATACTGCTCCGGCCGTTCCGGGTCGTTCCGGCTGGTGTCAGGCACAGAACCTCCACACTGGGCCAGGGACCGCAACAAAGCCTGCAAAGCCGCAAAGCAAGCAACCCTAATGGTCTCCAGAGCTTTCGCTCGTTTGACCAACCCCCGGAACCTGCCTGGTCGTGAAGTCATCAAATGTACCCACGGCTGCCAAGCAAGCGCGGGATCTGGTAATTGCACGGTGGCACGGATCCAGCCGAAGAGCCAGCTGAAAGCTTCCCGCATGCCTGCCATGAACTCGGGATCCCCTCGCAGAAGAGCCCACAGGACATCAGGTCCGTTGGAAACAAGTTGTCTGGCATAGCGGAGGCGCTCTGACCAAAGCAGGGTAGTGGGGTCAGCTTGACGCAGGAGTGCGCAGATAGTGGCAGTCGTGATGTGCTGGTCATCTGCGAAGGCAAGTCCAAGACACTGACGATACATAGAGACAACAGTTCGTGCGAACAAAGTCATTTCGCCCTGCTTGAGTGGGCCCCATGCACCCGAGCCAAAGGTCAACTTGGACAACACGTGAGAGGACAGAATGGCGCCCTTTCGGGCAAGGCTGATCCTTTTCGATCGGAAGACTTTAGTCTTCCCCTGACGGAAGGCGACCCAGGCAGCGGCCACCCTTTGTTTGATCTCAGGGAGCAAACTGTTGTTGGCGGTGATCCGCACACCCAGGTGTTTGTAGGCAGGCACAAGTGGAAGGTGCTCGGAAGGGCCTGTCTCAGATAAAACCGGGATCCCCTTCTTCAAGGAGAACAATCTCCTCCTGGCTTCTCTTGCTCCCTGGCCTCTCAACTGCACAACAGCTGCAGTCCTCGCCGCTCCAAACGAAAGCGAGTATCCGTAACTTCGGAAGGAGTCATTCAAGAAAGAGGCTTCCAACCCTATCAAGGATGCAGCATCAGCTGGCCGTGAGATCCCCAAGTACGAGGCCAAATCATCTGCCCATACGACGTCTTCCAACGTTGCAGATGCTGGGGGGGGAGCCTCTCCTGGAGGAGGATCGAAGAAACCCCGCCAGCCATCCCATGCGACAGCAACTTGTGAGGCTTGCCTTGGAGACTCGAGCCTCATCTGGTCCCGGACAGCCAAAATGCCTGGAACAGTCACCCCGAAAAATAGGTCCGCCCATGACGATCCTGGCCTGGATCCCTGGGTCGTCAGCACAGGCGTATCGTCCGTGTTGAGTGTCATCCAGGTTCTGTCGTTGAAATCATGCGTCAACGGCTGTAGCCATTCCGTCGCACCGCCCCTGCTGAGCGCACTAGGCTTTTCCAGCTGAAGCTGGACATCTGGGTCATGGTGGCGGTGCTGGTCAGTTCCGCCATCATCATCCCTTCGTGCCGTGAGGGCCCGCACGGCACTACAATATGCCGCCGATACATCCGCGAAGAGGATGACCGTCGACATGGCCTGGGATGCACACCACTTGCCGTAGGCCCGGCTGATATGTGACCCATATAGCACTGTCGCATTCTTTTTGCCACCGAGTTGGATCGGTAATGAATGCTGTGCAAAAAAGCGGTAAATGGCCGGCCGGAATGCACGGTGGAACGTCTTGGCAACAACCGAAAGGAGCATTATTGCCCTATACGACCCACAATCAACCTTGGACCCGCGGCCTTTGTAGAGCCAAGTGAGAATCCCCGACTTGAGTCCCAGCGGTTCCCTGCACAAGAGACCAATTTTGAGAAACAAGGGAAGTAGCAGCTGCTGTAGGGCGGTGGGTTGGGCACGTCCCAGCTCAGCTGGGATGCCATCCGGTCCACAGGCTTTGCCAGTCTTGGCATGCAAGATTGCACATGAGAGATCGGAGGGGGCTGGGAAATCCTCGATCGGGATGTCGATGCCGGATGGAACCGGTGGTGGGTCCAATTGGGCGATTTCAGCAGATCCCATGGTTTTGCCCCCTTCCAGCTGGCTAAAGTGCCGCCTCCACCTTGCAATGGTGTCGGCACTGCCATCACACAGCTGGCCGTCTTCGTCCAGAAGTTGCGGGAGGACGTCTGGGGCAAAGGGCCTCTTCTTCCGCTTGCACAAAAGTCTGCGCAAATCATCGTGGGCGGCGTGGCCCCCCCCATCAACGGAGTCGGCCAGGGTGCTCAGGTACGCCGCCCTATCTGCTTTGCATCCTTTCCTAAGGTCCTTGGACGCCTCAGACAGACAACGTCCTAGGCGAACAAAAGTCACGTCAGCCCTCTGCGCCCATTTAGAGCACCACATGCCTCTGAGAGGGCCTCCGTGACCACAGCGAAGTGACGCAAAGGCTGCCGCAAGCTCATGGAACCTGGCTGCGCAATCTCGCAAGCTGCCGCCGAAATCCAGAGACAGCCCGCTGCAGGTCCCACGTGGATTGAGAGAGATATGGATGACGGGGGCGGGCTGCCTTAGCTGGTGTGCTTCGCGTGAGGCCTTTTTGCAAATGGGACACAAGTAGCGCAGCGTGCGCATCCGGCCCCACTTCCCAAGGAACCCTAGGCATGCGGGCAAGGACCTCGGTTGCTTGCGCGCTCCCTTCCGGCGTGCTCAGGAAACTGGCGTCAATCTTCGCTCGTCTCTGCGGGGTCCCGCCAGGTCCGAGTGTGACACGTGCAGTGATGCTAACTAGAGCCGCGATGTGGTCAATCACTGGCTGCCCCGCGTGAACACAGGGTTCAACCCATGATCGGATGCAACATTGGTCTAGGCAGTCGGGAATCGCGATGAAGTCGTTCCTACTTTCTGCTTGGTTGCGTTTCTGCACGTATGTGCCACTGGGTCCAGAATGAACCCCTTGAAAGGTGGAGGGCAGCCATAGAGACAGCCGGTGGAGGAGGTCGTGCAAGTGATCTCCAGCAACATCCTGCACATCAGCATCCATATCTCCAACGGACCGAGAAGTGAGGGATCCGACTGCGGCATTGAAATCGCCAAGGAGGTATACTACCCCTTTGGAAGCAATTTTTTCAAGCAGCCTTTTGGTCTCGGCCCACCACGCGAAAAGAATAGGGGCCTCAGCACCCCTGTGTGGGGCATGTAAGGATGCAAAAAGGACTCGTAAACTGGCTGCCGTGAAGAGCACCAGGATTCTCCTTGGGTCCTTGTGAAGGACCGTGAAAGCACTCGGGATAAAGGAAATTGCAGCAGAAGAATCCTCATCCCCGTTCACAACCCTGAAGTTGGTTTTGACCCACAGTTCGACTCCGAATTGCCCTTTATCGGCGCCTGAGCAGAAACGCGTAAATCCATCTGTATGCAGAGTGCCTTCCTCAGTACGGGCTTCTTGAAGCCCCGCCACCGTCACTCCGCAAGAGTGGAGAGCAGAGGCTAAAATGGCTGGCCTCGCCGGTGCAAAGGCAAGCCCGGCATGTCGATTGTCAGTGAAAGACCGTCCGCACAGGGAGAGTACGTTGTAGGTGGCCAGGGTGAGCTGCAAAGTGCCAACTTCACTTTTCGTGTGCCTCGAGCTTGGGCAGAATGGAAGACAGGGCTCTATGCATTGAAATGGCGAGAGACCAGCAGAGCCGTC